GAGGTGACAGCAGGTAAAGGTAACATGGTTCAATGATTACCAAGTCGTGTTTGTGAGTCTGTGTGTGTGTGAATGACTTTGCGTGGGCATGTGTGTTAAACTGCATATGTCGCAATCTCCCCTGGGAAGAAAGCTGAGGAGGAGGATATGGGTGAACAAATAAATTGTGTACTTCTTTAAGGTTGTGCAAAATAATTTCCACCGTATATTACGGATCAGTTTTGGAACGTCAGAGGATTAGATATAAGAAAACACACTAAATAAGAGTATTTGATGTTTAGTCTACACAAATCTCTGATTAATACTTGTTGCACATACAAAAATACATATTTAATTAAATATTCCATAAAGACCGTTCTCTTATGAGCCATTAGCTCAACACTTTTGCTCATGGGGATGTAAAAAGCTTTGATAACTTGTAATGTTTTGTGTATGTGACGAAAGTCACCACGCCCCATTCACAGTGTGCTGTGAATAGAAACAATTAGGTTTACACTCACACTTAGTCCAGTTTCCCACCAACCAAAGCACTTTCATAACAGACTCCCCGACGATAATAAAGTGTTGTGTCTAATAGTATTGATGAGCCGAGGACAAAAGGTTGTGACCACATACGGGTTGTTTCCACCCGGGAATGTTTTTTATTCTGTCATCTGGGTTTATTATTATTTCTATCACTGAAAACGTGTCAAATCACAGTAAATATAAAGTGCACCTACCTCTGTATGTCTCTACCAGCTGCTGAAGAAACGGGTCAGAGCAACAGTTTACAACAGCGGCTTGGGGTACTGATGTGTTCTTGAATTTCCAAATAAAAAAATTCTCTCGTAGCCATGGAAGACAAAAAAGGTCACATGAGGCAACAAATGTTGGAAAGTGTCCTCAAGCCATAACAGCAAAGATCAGAACATAAAAACTCTATTGATGAGATTCATCACAAATTAGCACATCCCACATTAAGTATTTAACCAACCACTTGTCATCTCGGCAACATTCATATACATGCCAACGAGTTTTATTTTTAAATTGTGTGTTGAAATCAAACCACCGGGTGTGTTTACGGATGTGCGCGGATGGGATTTTTGTTATATATGTGTGTTGGAGGTAGCAGCTTGTATGTGTCAGGTTGAGATATGTGGGTGTGGTGTGATATTTATGTGGCTGTTATTGTTTGGTCAGTTTAGGCTTTTCATTATCACACTCGTTCTCTTTCCCCGGCTCTGTTAAAGTCAGCGTACGTGTGAATTATGATATGTGGGAAAAGCATGCATGCAGTTCTGCATTCAAGATTAGAGACTCAATTTGATTTGATTCTTCCCTTCTCTGAGCTGTTAAAAATGACATGATGATAAGTGAGAGGTTTAAAATATGTCTTCCGCAAACGTTTTGTACAACTACTGATGAGAAAAGCCAGGTGGCACTTAAAATTTGCTCTTTCCCTACAAGAAAACAAAATGTCACTTTATGCTTACACTTGTTTATGAAGCTAAGTTTGTCTGATTTTTAACCATAAAACTTAATGAGATTTATAACAAATTTTAAACTGTATTTGATCAACTTAATTACTTTTGACACTTTGATAGATAAGGTACCTTTCTTTGCACAGAAGTAAAGCAAATTGAATGAACCCAACTTAAAGTGCAACAGTATGATACTGTGCTATCCAAGCAAGTAAACGTAAAAATAAAAAAATAAAAAACTGTCCAACAATTTGAAGTTAAATATTATATTACATGCATTAAGTTAGCTCCCTAGAGTTTTTTTTTTTTTATCTCTTTCAATATTACCTTTCTTTAATTATATTTTTCTTTGTTTGCAATGTGCAAAGTACGGGCATACTTTAATGTGACAAAGTGTAGATGTAGAATATGAAGTTTAAGGATTCAGTCACAAAAAATAACTTCAGTGGAATTATTTTATTTCTTTAAAACTTCTAGAATCTACCCATGTATTTTTTGTATTTTTGTAATAACTAACTAATGTTTGTATACCCAAAGGTTATAAAAACATCCCAGTTTAATTAAAAACTAGCTTTAGCTTAGTTTGACTTGACACAACTGGATACAAAATTTTTCAATAAAAATACATTTCTGAGGATGTTTGTCCAAGTAGATTTTTGCTGAGAGATTATAATAACCTTAGCTTTCTCCCTTTCTGTTTTGATATGCCATGTTGATCAATCATCATATAGCAAGTTCCCTTAATCTTGTGAGATGTTCTGTTTAATAAAAATAGTTTACTGTGAACTTTGTAAAAACTAATTACAAGATTTAAAGCAGCATCCCATAGCACTATCAGTTGAATCTCAGCTAAACATGCCCTAAAAATAAAGTGAAGACTGTATCTGGATTGAGCATGGACATAGATCTAGTTTGAGATTTCACTTGCGTAACTGTTGCTCAGATTACACGTCTCCAGAATTATGTCGATGAATAAGTTGCCAGCCCCAGTAGGAACAGTGTAAGCAAGCATGTCAATTTTGTTTTGAGGCTAGGTCCTCTTGGCCTTTCGGATTGTGCGACATGGCAGCTGTTGAAACTTTAATGGCGCCAGTAGAGTAAGTGACAGAGTGAACAGTTGATAATGGAGCTATGATAGTTGTGTCCTACATCTGCCCCTTGTTTTGAAACACCAGTGGAAGACAACACTCTACATGCCATGTACCCCAACAGCTTGTTTTGACCTTATGTTCTGCAAGACTTGTCGTCTTATTGACGCGCTCATGCACAGTTTGCAATGCAATTCAGCCCCTGAAAGTCTCCCAGGCCCCTCTGGGAGAGTTTAGGTTTCAGCTGTGGATGATGCAAGTTATAGTGGATATGACAATTAATCACATTGTCTGAAATTGTGAGTTAATCTAAAGCCATGAGAATAAGGTTTGTATTTTTCACATTTTGTCATGACTGTAAATGTCAGCATGGTATTTAGAGCACAGGGGAGCATTTTCTCCCCGTGTCATCACTGAATCAGACGAGTGTTCTGAGGTACGTGACCTGACGCTGCTCACACAAGTTTGTCAGGAGCTGGATCGCTCTCCGAGTCTGCGGTTTCAACCTGTTGCCTGACAGCATTCTCAGCATGATGCTCTGGCATCTCGGGGAGAACCTTGGACGCAAAGGGGGTCCAGAAATATCAGGATTATACCCACTCTTAGTGGAAAGAAAGAGCGAGAGAAACAGAGAGGGAAGGAAAAGAAAACAGGATGGAGTGAGAGGAAGATTTTGATATTGAGTTTCATTTGTGCTTCTTGGGAGATATTGTTTCAGGAAATTCAAAATTGTCAATATCTTTTCAAGCTTGTCTCATTTTACAGTTATAAAGACAAACTGTAAACGGCGGTGCATTACAGACAAACTTCAGAAACCCATTCATGGCGCAGATTCACCACAAACAGAGACCTTTTCTTTAAAGGCTTGAAAGGGTCTTTATCCTCACAGTGATTGGCTCTTTATTGTATTCAGAGCATGTATTCATTCGCTGTTTATTTTGTATTTTTTGGCCCACTTAAAAGTCAGAAGAAAATAGGCAAACACGCAGTTAATCAACAAACTCAGATGGTTAGTTACCAGATGGGCACGGCTCTGGCAGTATTTTCCTCGCTGTAAAAAAGCTTTGTCAAGACGGATCTCCAGTGTAATTAATACACACACGGTCGCATAGGAAAATAAAAAAGAAACTCCAATAACAACAAGCAGCGTTGCTCAGGGAAGCTGGCAGTGGCATTTTCTTTTTTTTTTTCCCTCCTCCCCGTACCACTAAAGAGCTGGCACACATGGTTTGGAAAAGAAAGCAGGTGCAGCTCACTGGAATTAACTCACTTTCACTGCTCTAGTTTTGATCCAAACAATAGGTGGAATAGAGGCTGTTCTATTTTCACAATGTGGCCACTTTGTATGCCTTTGTAGCAAAGGCTACTAATCTTAAGAGCTCACACAGACATACACAGATGTGGCTGCATACCCACATAAAGAGACAGAGACAGGAGGAGGGGAGGCTGTGTTGCATGAGATAATTCGTGTTGTTTATCTTGAGTAGATTACCACTTTTGTACCATATGCAAACGTCTCTAAGCAGACAATATTTTTCTGAATAGAAAGCTCATTCTGTCAGGCTAGTTGTCTCATACAACAACTTGCACGAGGGTTTGCCATTGAAGAGTTTAACATTTTGTCACGTTTCAACCACACCCTTCAATTTTCTTCGTTAGAATTGTATCTGAAATACTGGGGAAAAAATATATATATAGCTTTAAAACTTTTTACAATTAAAAATCTTTTCTACATATGTGCTACAAACTGACAGAGTTGTCAGGTGTATAAATCCGATATCCCCAAAAAAAAAAAAACAATCAAAATTTGCACTTTGCATGAAAAATGTCTGTCACAAAAGAAATGGACATATGAAAAGGTGAAACAATGGAATTAATATTTTGGTAAGGCATTTAGAAAATTTGGTTCACTGTGGCGCATCAATGACTAAAATAGTTAGAAAAGCTTTTTTTTTTTTATTTCTACCAGACAATTTGTTGCCGAGGGAAACTTTAACTCACCATATGTTCCACAATAAACCTCTGTGATCTTTGATGTACAAGCAATAAGTGATCCTCTTTACCGTTATCTGACTGAGACAGAGTATTTTCAGTTCCTCCTTTTTTCTCTTTTTTTTCCTGGCATGGTGGATGAACTGTTACAGTCAGGGTATGTTGAACCCTCAGCGGACTTCTCTTTGACTTTAGTGATGTTTCCCTAAGAGCGATAGTTTTTGAAGAAGAGATGTTCTAATGTCATTTTTCAGGGTCACTTCCTATTTACAGTAGGATTGATACGTATTATGTGATTGTTTTTTCTATGTAAAAATAAAGACGCTAAATACATTTGATTCTCATTTCTTTAATTTCTATTTTTCTTGTGTGCATTTCTTTAAATCTTCGCACCTTCTTGGCTTGAATCGGCTTTCTTTTAGTCTCGCTAATTTTGTTTTCCCTCTTCTCTCTCACCCAGGTGACATTTACAAAGCGAAAGTTTGGCCTGATGAAGAAGGCATATGAGCTGAGCGTGCTGTGTGACTGCGAGATTGCCCTGATCATCTTCAACAGCACTAACAAGCTGTTCCAGTATGCCAGCACAGACATGGACAAGGTCCTCCTTAAATACACTGAGTACAACGAGCCCCACGAGAGCAGAACCAACTCTGATATTGTGGAGGTATGTTACAAGAAAGCACATACACATTCACATACACGCAAACACATTCCCTGACATGCAAGTTCACGGAAACGCACAAGCAGACAGATGGTAACTGCGCTTGTGACTCATTCAGCAACCCTTACTTCTCTCTTTTAGACTTCACACCTAACAGAGTGCAAGAAATAATTGCTCCCATAGCTTGTTGGTCTTCCCCAAGGGGCTTGGGAGCAATATCAATCATTCTTTTTTCAGAAAAGGCATTTTAAGCTCCGCAATATGTCATTAATTTCAAGAAAATATTTTTCTTTAAATGGCCTCCTCTTACTGTTTAAGCTTCCCTGCAAACAAGAGGTTGTCTGTTATTGATCTGGACTTCTCAGCCTGTCCCCTGTGGTGTATAATCACTGCACCCTGCCCTTGGTGTCTTGTCAGCATTGATGTGCCTCTAAGAGGAGGATGTTGATCTGGCTTCTTCTGGACACTTGTCACCGAAGTGGCTCAAAGCAACATTAAACAGAACTGTTGGCCGAGGGACTAAAATGCAGGTGGATCAAGCAGGAAATGACGTTGTCAGTCTCCTGAAGCTTTAAGCTCCCAACGTGGAACTGTTATGCAACAAATGCTTCTGGACCTGGTGGGCAAAATGAATACACACATAGTTCATCTCCTTCTGCCTTGCAGTGCCATGATCTAATGGAGTAGGCACATAAAGTTACCTCTTCATTGTAAAATTAAAGATAGTTACAGACATGTGCAATTTTGCTTTATTTTTCTTGTTATCCAAGCAAAATTTTGACTTTTGTTGAATCAATTTTATGAATCCTGATTTTTCCCTTGTGGTGGAGGAATTTTGGAAGCTATGTGGCTGTTTTATATTAATAACATATATAGCAGCATAATGCTATGTTCATAATTCATGTGCAACACATGCATACTTATCTAAATCTGTTTTTTTTTAAGACAAGCACTTAAAAAACACAGAACACATCAAAGGGATCATAGATATTTGTGTTTTGTAACGAATGAATATCACACATGGTCCAGTGGCTCAATCCAGATGGCTACGTGATCAAAAAGCATGGGACATATTTTTCTTCTCATATAGCTGCTGCTAGGCTTATTGCCCAGTTAGTAAGTGACAAACATGTTGTTTGCTGTTACAGAATACGAAAATTAATCAGTTTATGTATGTGAACAAAAGTACTTTGGCACTGAAGATTTTTGGTCTTATGCTAATACCATTCATCATGTGATCAGGCGTTGTCATGTTTAAAATCTAAAACCAGCATCAACAAACATGTTGCAATACAGTTACTGATTTCAGTAGCCCATTGTTTCATAGCCATTTCCATTTGGTAGAGTCAAATGTGAAGAGTGTTGATGCAGTTCCTACATTAAGCACTCAACATATGACAAACCTCAATGATGAAAACAAAGGGAATGAACACGGTGCATTATCATGGACTGTACTGAAAAGCATGACAATTTATTCGCTTTTGTAGGACATGCTTTATTGCCTGCCTATAATTCATACTCGCAAGCTCTTTTGAAATTTTAATCTGCTTAGGGCTTTATGCATTCTATGAATCACACTAATCAATTTAGGATATACTTTTAAAAAGCTAGAGTCCATTTGAGCAGTAGTGATTTTAATGCACCCAGCTCTTCGCTGCCGGTGTATAAAGCTGCCCCTCCTGAACCCATGAACAGAGCTGTCACATGTTTCAGCAAGTGCCTGTGACGAGAGTTCTTTGTAGCTCTTCCCTCAACTGTGTCTCCATTAGGGAGCACAGGATGGCTAACGTGTAAACAGCCGTGTCAGGGGAAAGACGCTAAAGAGCCTAGTGGGGGGAGAGCGCTACGGAGCACTACCTACAATTTGATCCCCAGAGGACTGTGTGCTTTTTGAGCAACTCACTGCGGGAGAAATCGATCTGAAGAGGCCTCCAGCCTGAGCTGCGCTGAGCTAAAGGGATTGGCCACAGGGCAGACACTAGCACGTTTATTGTGGTTGGGGGGGAGGGAGAGGGGGGCTGAGCAAGGGTCAAGATTTTTCCCTGGAAGCTGTTTGCGATGCTGTTTAGCAACGTCACAGATGTGGGACGTGGGAGGCTTGTTGAGTTTGCAGGGAGGAAAGAGCAAAGCAGACTTCCTGTTGAGATGAATGGACGATGAGGAGGAGTTCAAGAACAAAATGATTCAGAGCTGTATAATAACTCACGTTCCCTCGTAAGAATATGTGTCCTTTCTTACGTGGAAAGAAAGGACACTGGTCTTGTCTTCAGCAGCGCGCTGAACCACATGCATCATTCTCCCTGTATTACTGCTGCGCCTGAAGTTGTAGTGGGAGGAGAGGCAGAGGTAGGGGAACGGAGCTCACAGTGTGGGCGGCTGGCATGGAGACCTGCTACATTAGCAATAAAGCTCTATGTAATTAGCATGTCTTTGGTTGATAATTAGCGTTGTTGAGAGAGTGGCACTAAGAACGTTGCGCTGCCTCTCTAGCAACAGAATGTTTACAAGAGGCTCGAGGGCTGACTTCTCTTCCTCCTTTTATTCTTTTTATTTTGAGTTCAGTTTTGTATTGAGCATACATCTTCACAAGGTGTGTTTTTATGGCTTTATTCTAAGGGTCGACAAATACACATATATGTTTGAAACCAATGGCGGGTTTGGAAAGGAAGACAAAAAAATAAATAAACAGGACAAACTGTCTTGCTGACTCATTTTGAAAACATTTCATCTTGAAGAAAACTTACATCGCTGCTTGTGGAAGAAACAACTAACTGACCAAAGAACAGTTGTGAATTTTAAAATTGGATGTTTTGCTCGCCCACAAAGGTTATTTTTTTGATGGGAGTGTCTTTCATATTTAAACAGACAAAAAAGTCCAAATTACCATGATATTATGATACACTTTTTCCAAATGTCTTAGTTTTCGCAAAGCTTTAAAGTGGCGTTACTGTTTATGTTCTAGGCACAGGACCATTTCATCGCACAATCAAATAACTGTTACTTACAGATGTCATAAAAATTTTGTATCTATATCAAACATAACTTAAAAGAAATTTGACTTTGCAGTCCGATGCCTTGAAATTGGCCTGTGTCTCTTTAAGAAGCTCCTGTTCTTTCCAACACTCTTTTCCAACGTGACATTGACAGCCACTCCTAAGAGCATTGGACTGAGAAGTAGTTTGTATGATAACCTCAGCAGTTGCACAGTTCCAAGATGTGTTTGCTAATTGCTACTGACACTAGTCTGGAGGAGCTGAGTCGGGAAATTCTCCCTCAGCTGGAAACTGCACCTGTGGAAATAGGTGACGCTTTGTATGATCAAGTGCTTAGGCACCCCAGAATATATGCCATGGGAGATTCAAGGATTTCTCAAGCATAAATGAAAGAATCAAAGCAATACTTAAGGTATGTTTTTGATGAGACAATAACATTACAACATGACAAAGCTCAAAAATGTTGATTTTACATAATAAAATCAACATTTAAAACATTTAAAATATGGTTGTTTGGAGAAAGAGGGGAGCACCTTGGGTGCAACTCTGGCATTCTCGATTCTCCTCGGAAATTGGAAAGGAAGTCACAAGTATATACATATTTAAAAAAAAACAGTTTGAAAGGTTTTACTGCAATTTTAAACAAACTCAGATGTATATTTTAATAAATCTGTTTGATTATTTTATTTTTTTACCATGACATTCTAACTCCCTGATACTCCTCTTGTGACTGTACTAAACTTTTCAATGCACAGCTATCACGCCTTAGCTAAACAAGAGGGGAGGTCCTCCTAATTAACGATAAGTGTTCAAAGAGACATCTGAGCTCGTCTCGGCTCTCACAGCTTGATAAAAGCAAATACAGACACTGATCCATCATCTCTGGATGTCGGCGGAGGGTTCAAGTGTGTCCTGCTGGCAGGTCCATGCCTCACTCTGAGTCTGGCTGCAGATAAAACAGATATACACATAGATAGATTTCCCATACTCGCTGTTTGCCAGACTGGCTTCCTGGACATGTGAAGAGCATTAGAGCTGTACTTGGAAAAGATGAGATAAAAGTGCCATTTCTCTTTTTTTTAGTCTTATGTTATTAACACTTAAGAACAATCACTCTTCCCATCGTTATTGGCGATTTATTTTTCTGGGGGAAAAGGGGATGTTTGGGAGGGGGTGGGAGTAATTGCCATAGCACAATAAAAAAGTCCTTTCTGTTTCCTCTACTGATGATTTCTGCCATAGCCCAAACCAAAGCAGAGTTGGCTGGATCATGCTGAGATTGAAAGACCACCAAATCCAACAATTCTGATGGGGTTTGCCAAATCCCTGCACCACAATGTGCTTGTCCTTCCTACTGCTGAAACAAAGAATGCAGGTTTGTGATGCAACGAAAGGGTTAGTTCCTGTTGTGGTAAATGGGGCCATGTGTCCTCAATGCTGGGAAAACAACCTCATTGGATGTAATGCTGGTATCAGTTGTATTCAGCTGTACAGTGTGAGCCATTGTCCTCTTAGTGTGTTGGAGATTGTGCATTTGACTGCATGTTTGCTACATGGATACCTTACGCTGAGCGCTGTGGTGACCTCCAACAGAACCTGCACACTCCTGTGTCAGTGCTGAAGTATCACATGGAGCAGCACATGGAGCTTGGAACTTAGGTGACCTGCCGGCCAGAGGAGGGCCACTGGCCAATCCCATTCCCAGCAGATTTACCTAATCTGAAAGTTCAGATCACCCTGTAATCTTAAACAGCAGCAGCACGAATTTGACTCCCGCACCCTAACCTCAGCTTTTTTTTTCCCTCACATTTTTTTCTGCCTACATTTTCTCTAAGAAGGAACTACTGAATAAGGGATGGAAATGGAAAGGGACAGAGGGATAGATGAGTGCTAGAAGAGAAGGAGGGAGGGAAAGAGGGATGGAGGGAGAAAGGCTGGTAATTATTTCCAAAGGTCATTCTGTTAATGACTACCTGCTTGGCTAATGAGATTCAGCAAAGCTCCCTCACC